CTCAGGCTTCACCCCTGCCGGGATTAGCCTCCCTGCTTTTTTCTGGCTGACATCTCTGGCATTCTTCACCTTCTCCAGACAGCTGAACCCTGCCTGGGTGGAGGCGATGCGGTGGGACGGTTGGCATGGCAGCAGGCAGGATGGGCTCCACAGGGCTGGGTGTGCTCTCCGCCTGGCCACTGACTTGGGCTGTGGGCATGCCCCCCACCCCACCCCCCACTCATTTCCACCTCTCCCTCTGCCCTGCTTGGGAGAACGCAGGCCTGGCTGGCAACTGTGTGGACGGAAGGCTGGGCTGGAGGGGCCCTGGTCTGGTGGAAGAGGCCTCTTCCAGGACTAGGTAGCAGACACAGGCAGCCGGCTTCTGCTGACCACTCCCTCCCTCAGTACAGCTAAGGCAGCCTCACCAACCCTGGCTGGCAGCAATGGGCGGGGGGGCTCTCCAGGTGTCCAGCCAGGACTTTGCCTGGAGATGCTGCTGTGACGGGACTGAGATCTTCCCCCTTTGCAAACAGTGCACGTGTGCACAGAGGACAGCGGGAGGGCAGTGATGAGACAGAGGCATGTCTTGGGACTTGTACCCCCCCATCCCCAGAATTCTGCCACTGGTTTCAAGAGATGGAAAAGCCTGTTTGGGGGAAGACTCCACGCCCAGCCCTGGGGTTCCATGGAGCTGCTCCTCCCCCCCTCCCTCCCTCCCTCCGAGGTTTGTCCTTGAAGGATGGCAACGCTGCCTCTGCCAAGATGTCCTGATCACCTCCCCACAACTGCCAAATGACCATCGCCAGGCGGGCCACATCTGGCATTTGCCCACTGCTCCTGCGTGTCAATGTTTGCCAGCTTGGTGGTGCTGGTGGCCACCCCCTCCCTGTGCAGCTGGCCAAATAGCCTGGCGTTGGTCCTTAAGGGGCCACAGCCCTTCCCTGCCTCAAAACTCCTTGATCCTGGGGGAGGAAGCCAGCAACGCCACCCTGCTACGCCCCGGGTGCGGTGCAGGCTGCGCCTCTGGTTGCCTAGCAACTGCAACCGGCTTGCTTTCTCCATTTGCCGCCGCCCCCCCCCCACGCAAAATGAGCACCACTGGGACAAAGTACAGGTGTGGAGGGGGGCCAGGGAAGCGCCATCTCCTCCCCCACTGGATGGGGGGGGACTGGTGGGAACAAAGCCCGCCCGCCTGTCTTCTCTCCTCGTGCGCCGAAGGTGTCCCGAGGTTGCCTAGCGACGGCGGACTTGCCCGCACCGCCTTCTTCGCATCAATGGGGAATGAAGGCCGGGCCGGTAGCCCGACGGGGAGGGAAGGTGGTCGGCTG